GGAAGGGTACTGGCAAAGGCAAGGGCTAGTTGCGGAGGGACAGCTTGTTATAATTGCACGCGGCCGCTTTTCGTGGACGATACTGAAAGACCGGAGACGTTTGTTCCTCGAGATGGATTTAATTAATCATTGAAATGTGAGACGAGAGGAGTCCACTCCGTTGCATCGCTGTACGTTGCTTTTAAAATGTTTGCTGACAATGTTTCTTTGAAAAAACTGTGTTTTGTAGGTTATTCTATTGAGTTGTTCGGAAAGTTCGTTTTTTGCATGGAAATGAAAGACGATTTTTTGTTTGTTATAGAAAGGAACAGTTTTATTCAGTTATACAGGGTGGTCCACGCAACTTGTTCACTCTGAATAACTTCTAAAGTATGCATTGTATGGAAAAATGTTTTAGAGGAAAGTTGTATGGTTTGGAGGGATACATTATGTATTGCATATATCTTTTTTGTATGTGGAGGCGTTTCGGAGATTTGAAGATCAACTTCGTTTTTTTTCAATGGAATGCTATATTTTTTATACCAACATATCGAAGAGCGTTAAATTTTGAGTAAAAAGGTACTGTCTTCTTTACATTAATTTTCACTATGGTAATTCTGATATTCCGAATTTTTATTCCACCAGAGAAAGGAAATACTGTACGTTTAAAGGCTTGCGAAAATATACGGGAAGGGTGACCGAGCCTTAAATCTTCTCTTGTTTGTTCTGGTCTGACGGGCTCATAATTATTCACGACGTGGGGCGCGCCATTAATCCAAGGAAAACCAATACTTTCCCGATAATGTCAGGCATGGTCATTCTAGAAACCCTCTAATACAGATTTACAAGCATACGCTTGTCGCCGGAGGAAATCCTTGCACCTTTATATAGGGTGTGCTGCGAATTAATTGCTAAAAGAAAGCGAAATTTCTCTGGATCTGTACTTGCAATTTCATTTTACGGTTTCATGCATAATTGAGCGTTTATAGCCTCCTTTATTCTAAAATCGTTTCGCAGTAAAATTTGTTCTAATTCTGTGTAATCAGTTGTTTTAATTCTTATGGTTAATCTTAATTTTAATTTAAGTTTAAGATTCTTTAATGCAAGAAAACGAAAAAATTTATCATGTAGTGATATACATAATTTTTCATATTTACAGTAGTTTGGATGGAAAATAATTTTTTATTATTCATATTGGTGGATAGAAGCATTAAGAAGTTGAATTTCTGTCGTTAATTTAAAAGTTTCCTCAAAATCTTTATAAATAATTTTCGTAGAGTACGATAGGTAGGATCTAACAGAACCTCCTAGTATATGAAATCGTGTGAAACAAAACCAACAATAGAAGGCAATACAAATAACTAGGTTATGTTCCAAAAGTTAACAAAAACACACCATAACTTGCATTGAAAATGATAATATGACTAGCCTAAGTTCACTAGTACCTACACCCTACTTAATCGTAGCAAATTACAAGTAGATCGTAGATTTAAAATGCATACACTTGAAGTACAACATTTCATAACATAGTGAACAGATTACAGCAACTTAATTGAATTTTTACTAAATTTGCATTCTGATACTACCCATATAAAGTGTCCCCATAATCGTGATACAACCGCCGAGTAGTGATTCTACGTGCAAAAATAAATAAAAAAAAAGAGAATAATATTTTTTCATCCAATGCTTCGTTTTCGAGATAATCGAATTTGAAAATCTGCTGGATATGCGTGCAATTGACTTGGCTAGCGCGTCTGTTCATTGCACTCCGTTTCTACTCACTACCATAACGAATGTAAGCGTCCTGGATTAATTTACAAATCTGATTTTCTTGAGAACGAAACATCAAACGAAAACAAAATTCTTTTTTCTACTTCCTTTTTTTTTTTAAAATCATTACCCGGCCGGTTGTACTACACTCTGTATACAAAATACACGAAATAAATCTCTCGACACCAACTTCTATACATTAGCCTCTATAAGTCTATGCTTAAATAAACAACATTGTTCCAGTTAATCCCCATAAGACATACATGACTTCATCGCTTGAAAAATACGGAACAAAATTATCCATTGCGTGTCTCTTCGACGTATCCAATATTCAGTAAAGTTTTATTTAAAACCCGCCAAATAAGGGGGTGGTCAGTCGACGGTAGTTAGTTACCGTGCCACCCGGTATAATTTCGCGCGCTCGCGACAAACAATAGCGGGGCGGCACTCGTGGATCGGCGTGGAGTACTAAAACGTGGACCTCGCCGAGGGGTTAGAAAGGGTGAATTGCAGCTACGTGCCCCCGCATACGAATCGTACCCTCCCCTCTCCCCCTCCTGCCCACGCGGAGGCGTCACCAGGAGCCTCGAGGACCCCTGAAACCGTCGGCGTCGCCTCGAATCTAATGGATTGCACCGATACTTATGGTCAAATCGCGACCAACCGGTCCCCATGGACCCAGGCGCTCATTACCATTCCGCTCGAATGGATTCAATGAACCCTTTTGATAACCAGAAATACCTAGGCGAAAGTGTTTTCCTTGAAAAGTCCAAGTTACTTTATAACCTTGGTTTGAGAAGGAAAATACGTGATATATTTCACTCTGGAAGAAAAACGCCAAAATTTCAACTTAAATTGATAGGGTGAACAGTCGATATTTAATTTATTAAACTCTATCGATAGCAGAAGAACTATAACCCTCGACAGATTTATATCTTTTCTAGGGAATTGATAAAAATATTTTTTTTTTACTATTTTTAAATATAAAAAGGCTGTAGAGCTGGATGTTAAAATTTTAACCGAGGATGAATTTAACAAAACTTTTCCTGGGAGAAGAATAAACAAATTGTGCTTTCTGTAAAAATTTTATTCATAATTTATGTAACGTACAAGGTTTCATTTTATTTTTAGCGTAATAAATTTTGTACTTTTGTAATTTTTTAATTTAGTCTGTTGTAGAGTAAATGTCGTAATTAGTAAACATCCGCTGTCTAGTAATCAGGACATTTACCCTACAACAAACTAAATTAAAAAATTACAAAAGTACAAAATTTTAACTTATTATTCTATTTAATTTAACTCATTATTCTATTCACTCGATAAAAACAAGTCATTCAGTCGAAACTTTAAAATCGCGTCTTCACGAGTCGCTCGAAGCTCCAACAAATTATCTCTCTGCGGGCAGCCGCTACACGATTCGATCTCGTAACTGCGCATAGATCGGAAAGCTTACGGTCGACTGTTTCTCAATTAACGTTCGCGGGCCGCAAACGCGGACGGAACTCGCGAAACTTTCCCTGTAACTTTCAGCGGTATACTTCCCTGTAATTCCTGTTGCTCGAGTTTTAAGCTGCCTTAACAGCGGCTTTAAAGTTCACCGGGAGATCACGGTGCAACCGTGTAACTTAGAGATTACGGGGAATGCGGATGGCCGATTCGGATTCCCGAAACTGAGAAATACCACCCGCTTGGCGACGACTCCAACGCGTATTCCACATGCCCACTCCTCTCGCGATGAAGCTGCGATTTTATGATCGTGGAATTTTTAACCTTTTCAGCGCTATGAACTTCGTATATGAATTTCGAATAAAATTTTTAAATCCATTTAAACTATCGAGCAAAAGTTTGGAATCACTACGGGAATTAAGAGAAATGGGTTCCTTTTAAGAACAAAATAAACGTTTAATGTAACCGTGGAAATTATTTGTCAGGGAATTAATATACAACATATTTCATATTTGGTACCATTCTTTTTTGCGCAAAGACAGGTATTTTTTTAAGAAACCACCCTTAGTTTTAATTAATGGCTTGATATATTTTCGGCATTAGGATCTAGTATTGTAGCAATGAACTAATATAAATACTTTATCGGAATTCATTGAAATCTTTCATTTAATTTTCAGTGTAATTAATAGTCGCCTCGCGAAATAGCGTTTTGAAGATCACAAGGATCGAGATCGTTTTGTATTTGCGAATTGGGATTTCTAGACAGCTGGTTGTTTGCGTTTAGGTTAAAACGTGACTTTTTTTTCAGTAATTTTTGCTAAAATATATAAATTATAATTTGCAATTTATAATTCATGTAAACAAATGCATAAGGAGAGACAGAGGAAGCCTTCCGTTGTAGTATTCGATTTAGCTTGGATGTGACGAACCTGCAATCGTGAGACCAATCAGAGTAGAGGAAAATACCCCCACTTTTATTGAAATTTGGCCAATGGAGGACAGTTTTTCTAATTCGCGAGTCTTCGTTCTGTTATATTCAGGTCAAACAGGCAGTCGTAATTAAGCGGTCGGGTAGAGTGAACCGTTTGTAAACAGATCCCCGTGGTTAACCTCGATTAGTGCTGATTGTAATAAAGTGCCAGTGTTCTTTGTCAGATACATTTATATTCATTTCAACGTAAACCAACAGTGACAAAGTTACTTTCGCGTGTTAGGTATATAGGTACGTGTATCCATTGACTCGTAATTGAAGTTTCGTTATAAATACATATTGTAGAATTGTCAAAAAATTTCAGTATTGAATGTCATTTTTAATATTCAACTAACATACTTTTAATATTTTTCTAAAATAACTTATGAAGTAATAATAAAAACAATAAATAGGTGTATAGACAAGTGAAGTGAATAGAGAAAATATTAACGAATTTGTGATGTACAAAAGTTTAAAATAAAGGAATTTATCAATATTCGTTTGAAAAAATAGTGTACCTATGGTATTGGAGAACAATGAACGAACAGTAAATATTATTTAGACAGCAGTTTTCTTTCTTCGAAATACATATATGCTGGTGAATGTCCTCTTGTTATACATACAGTGATACAATGAATTAATTATTGTAATAACAAATTAAATTTCTCCCTCTTCTATTTTCCAAATTAATTATACATGAAATTCCTTATTTACATTTCTGCTCGCAGTATGTGGATATATAAACACATGTGGTGTTAATAATTATTTGGTCAAATGAAATATAAGGATACACCGAAATGCACATCCGTTTACCCAGAATTATTCGTTGTTCCAGGAAAGTTTGGAAGAACGTGTACAGGAATTGGAACAGGCATTACAAGCGGAACGACTTGCTGCGCAACGGGATCGAGCGACGATCACGAAACTTCAACGACAGATCAACAAGGTAAGTTACACAAAATAAAATATTTATAATTTACAAAGAACCTGCAATTTTAGTTAGACTTCACTGCTCAAGCTTCGAACCTTGAAGGTTCGAGCCTTTAGGGTTTGAATCGCGACTCGAGCTGTTAAAGCTCAAGACTCGAGGCTCATTTTAACAACACTAATCTTTACCACTGTGTCATTTTGACACCGGGGGACAAATTAAGTTGAGAAAATGAGGGATGGACAAGGGTTAATATAAACACTAAACGAGGGTTAACAAAGAATAAACATTCAACGTGGTAATAAAAATTAAACATACGTCGTCTAGCTATCTCCGTCTTTTTGTCAACAAACAAACCAAAAATCCCTACAAGATGGCGTCCACCGCCGCGAGAGAAAAACCCAAGGAACCGTAATCCCACGAAGACGCATAAATTCGCGGCGGGTAGCCGGGGTTGTCCCGAATAATCCCGTTTATTCCGTTTTAATCTGTTTCCCTGCCAAACCCGAACGGAGAGGAGCACATTTCGAACCGGTGGGCGAGATCGAGGAGGAAAGAGAGGATGATGTACGAGCGGGGCCCGTTGTTGGTCTGCTTCTGACGTGCCCGCGCGGCATTTTCCGCCGCGTGTTCTCCCCCTGCCCGTTTGCGAGCCTATAAAGTATCGTGACAAAAACAACCGCGGGCGAAGAGTGGAAAAACGGAAAATACACTAGCCCGACCCGGTAATCTCGCATGATTTATGCGGGTTTTGTAACGGTCCGCCCTCCAGACCGACGTTCGAATTATTTATTCCGTATCGATGAATCGGGGCCGAGATTGATCGCCGTCGAACTTCGATCGAATTGAAAATCACGGCGAAACGGAGAACTGGGTGAGGAAAAGGGATTGTTTTGCGAATGATTGGAATTGTGGGCGATAAAGGCGACTAATTTAAGATAGTAATCCTTTAACTCCTAGTGTGACGTGTATATCACAATTTAGAAAATCAGATTTCTAGAAGTTTTATCGTAAAAATATAGATGAGGTGCACGTATTGGGACCATTTTTAAGTTAACTAACCGCGAGAAATAAGTTTTTCCCCCAAAAAGGGAGCAACTAATGAATTGTATATTGAAAATATTACTATATTTTTTTAAAAATTTACTTTCCTATTCGTACTGAATAAAAACCTTCACAAAGAGGATAGTTAATGGGAAGTAACAGTCTTGATTACTTTATCCGTCGTAGGGCAAAAAATTGGGAGAAGTACAAGGAACAAAGTGAAATTTTCTTGGTCACGAAGACCGACACGACTTTCGGTAGCACGCAATGGTACCCGCTTTCGCGAGATCGAATCTACCGAATTTCCATCCAAATTGAAAATCAGCGCGAGAATTAGAGATTCGTTTCTTATCTCGGTTCATGGAATACACTCAAAGTAGACTAGACTCCGGCGTTTTGGCCCGAGAATTTCTATTTAACTCGCGATGGTCGTACACGAATTGAATTTCGAGATTGAATCGCAACCGTAAAAATAAACATTTGATAATTCCGTAGTAGATAGATCGTTCAGCATGAAGAATTGATAAACATTTCATTAACATTTTACGAATAAATCTATACAAAACAAAATTATATACATGTATTCAAGACTCGAATGCCAATTATTGGTTGATTTCGTACCATATTAAAAAAAAATCATTTTTGTCTTTCTCTGCACAAAGTTCACACCTATTGAGTGTACCAGTTAGAAATCAGTTATTTTTTCGTAACACATCATTCAAATTTAATACGTTTTCCCACCACTATGCTTGATAAAAATAATGCAAGACATTGGAGAGCAATAATGGTTATTATTAAAGAGTTCACTGTTTCTGATTTTCTAGAAAATAAATATTAAACTGTGTAAAAGACAGTAAATTGTTTCTTCTTATATCCAATATTATGTAGAAAATTCTTGTTAAATTTTGGAACTGTAAAAGTATTAATAGTATATTCGATTTCTATGGATAAATGTATTATTTCGTAGAGTGTAACTAACCTGAAGATTACAAAGTTGTTCTTAAATCGTGAACAAAATGATCGTACAAAAGAGTTGGAGACACTCTTCAATTTGGTTTCATTCTTTTACGTCCCATCGCGGATTATCCTTCTCGACCATTCGTCGAGAACTTTTTTCTGCGGTGTTCTTCAAGAAGCAACGAAGTTTAAAGAAGTCCCTTTCGTAACTGTCGATAAGAGAGTTGCCCGCGACTTCCTCAAGAATTTCACCGACGTTATCCGAGTTTTCGCGAGCCTCTCGATCGTAGAACGTAAAAAAATTCTGAGAACAGTTTCAGCGAATTTTCAACGATATTTACGCCGCTTGGGAATTATTTCCAGCTAACGGGGCAAATTTATCTCTTAAATCCTACAAGATAGTTTTTGAAGATCCCCCCATTACTGTTCTTATTACCGTAAAGTTATTTCAAGTCATTTCAAACTTCTTTTCTTATCTGAATTTCCTTTTATTTTCGAAGAAAGTAATTGCGTGAATTGTTCTGATTCCATTTCTTATCATTTTTCGATATTATTTTATATTCTGGAATATTTTATTTCCTGAAATTCTGTTGACTGTTGCATAGTTTTTGACAACTCTTGAATGTCGATTTTTACAAGAATTTTCCCTTATTATTTTTTACAGTACGACAATTTTTTATTTTCACGGATGGAATTAAGTTTTTAACTAAATAGACCTTTCAACCTCGATTTCAGAAATAATTTTCGATCATGTTTTATACTGGCACGATGAATTTTTTTCAGTAGGGAGAGAGATCGTTGGAGAGAGGGTCGCGAGCCATAACGCGTAACTTATTTTAACGCCACTCGAGCAACACGCGTACCGTATCCGAAGTGGTTGTAGAGGAAATAGCCTATTATTTGTAATGAATACAGGGCTCGCGAGATAAAGTTGCTTAGGGCGGGGATCGAAAGGGGTCACATTGGATTGAAGGGTTATTCAATTATAATTCTGAATCTTCGGCGCTGTCATTAAATGGATGCTATTCAGCGTGGAAAATGTTCAAACTTTCAATCATCTTTTAAAATAATTTTTATTTTGTGGTTCTAGTTACTATACCTGTAGCAAAAAAATCAATTTCTGTTCATTTATAAATTAATACCTTTGCTATTATTCCTCTACTAATTTGGTACAAATTAATACTAAAATTACTATTTACAATACGCATTCCTGAACGATTAAACAGGAAAAATTGTTGTCCACATTGCATTTTACATTTAGTTCCTCCAGATCTTATTTTATTAAACAAAAAGTTGTACCATTTATAGGATCTGATGTTAAAAGTTCACGTTTATACTTACTTAGGATCTTTCGAAAGTTTTATCGAATAATTTTCAGTATTAAAAAAAATCATAATAATATTTTCGTTACTTACTGCATCTACTTATTGCAAAAACAAAACAGCTACATACGAAAAGAATTTATTCTGCGTGTTTAAATCGTTTTGTGCTGTTTATAGCTATATGTATAAATTTTATAACAAAATTGGTCCCCCTATAAGATACATTAATAACTTTTTAAACCCCTATAACGCCATAACTTGTCCTACCTCCATAACCTTTAAATCACATACTATTTTTTGCCATTATTAAGCAAACGTGAATATTTTTTTACACAGTTGACCAATATTAACTTACAAATTACAGTGTGACCTTAAAATGAAAACCCTATCTTGAAGGAGAAAAACCAAAATTTGAGTTATAGAGGGTTAAATTTCTCATTGTTATTCTCCAATAGCTTCGATCGCTCTGATAATTTTCTGAAATTGTGTTCAGTAACGTTTCTCAACAACAAGAAAAAAAACAACGAGTGTTATCAGATTTAAGGCTATCAGAAGTCCCTTTCAATTAAACTTTTAATCCGGGAAACTTAACTGAGCGACCAGGAGAAATGAATCTCAAACAATAGGCGGTTCAGACAATCATCCCGTGGCCTTGAATTCATTCTCTCGACGAGGTTTGCATAGACATCGAGCGCCCTTCATCGTTCACCTTTGTTCCATCGTCGTGTCGACTGTGTTTCACGGACGCAAATATTTTTGGACACTCGAGAGCCGGGGAGGGGGGGGGGGGACCACGGACCTTGTAAATTCTGGCGAGAACGAGAACAGAGACAAAGCGAGCGCTCTCTCGGCGAATTAACCGGCCGTGAAAGTGAATTGAAACTGAGGACAGGCCCGAAACGCCGTCGCCCTCAAGGAAACGCACCGTTTCGACGGACCGATATTGTTCTGCGGGAATTCCTGGCGAAACGTTAATGCCACCCCGTATTGCCAATTATGTGGACCGTTTCACGCGAAAAATTCCGCTCTTCTTTGGACTTTTTCCATTTTCGTGGAATTAGCCTCTTGTGCGTGAGTAAACTGTTCCTTTGGGACCTTGTAAATTTTAACTAACTTTACGACTATTTATCAGTGGACCGTGGATTTTCTTCGTTTACATAACGTTAGGTGTGTCAGAAATTGTTGACATCTGCATCTTATTTGATTAGTGTTCTGATCGCAGATATCACGTGACGCCTTGAAGACGTCCATTTTACGGCTATTTTAGGTCTATGGCGCCTTTAAGCCGTCTTGTGCTATCTGGGATGCGTTTAACGTTTTAACGTCCAGACCCTTAACCCTCTATAGCCCGAATTTTTTTCATGATTGTAGCAAAAAATTATGTAAGGTGAAACCAAGATATATTCTCTAAATACAAATCAACATTGAATTTACAATTTTCAAAGATTTCATTATTACTCTGATATCTCAAGACAGAGATAGAATTAAGGTCGACGACCTTTCTTATTATAAGCTCCAAGTATTATTTCTGTCTTATATCTAGGTATTTTCTTTACAAGGTGTTCTGTGACACATCTAAATTTATATATTTTTCTTGCTCCTATGCCTTGAACGTCTTCTGCAGATGTATATGTGTACTCCCCACAATACCCAAACGAAATGATTGCAATAGTCCCTGAACTATACCTAAAAAAT